GCACCACTGGAAAGAAGATTTTTTTTCTCATTTAACTAAATGCGAATTAGTTAAGTTTTAGTTGTATTTTCTCATTATTTTATCAAAAATACGCAAAACAAAATGAACTCAGAAAATCATGTAGCCATGACCCGTAGATTTAAGCATCCGGAATTGTCAAATAGGAAAATTGTCGATATTGACGGAATAGAAGTTTGATTAAATTCCACGGAAAATAAATCTCGCACTCTACGGTAACTATTACCGCCGTACACGTTTTTTACAATAAACACTTTTTCCTCAATGGAATACATCGTAAGTTTTGTAGTAAGTACAAATTAAAATTATTGACAGTTATCGTACCTTGTTTTCATGACTACTGTGATTTTTTAAACCAAGTACACATTTTGACTACCTAATTTCGCAAAATAATAATTAAACGTGCAACTAGACGTTAATAATTTGCATATCATAAAACGCGGAAAAAAATCTTCTTTCCAATGGTGGCATTATGAACTTTCTAAGTTAATTTGAGGAGCAACAATCTGCGAAAAACTGTTTTCCCATGTTAGTTCCCTATGTTCGGTTTGAAAGTATTCACCCGGTATACTCCTGAGTGGAAGCCGCAAAATATTTATTGCACAAGAAAAATTAATTTGTGAAGGTTCACCGCCATCTGAACAAGTCAAGATCGCCATAGATAAGTTTCTACATTACCGGCTGCGTAAATTTTACTTGAATTCTACCAACAATGACCAGTGACCTACTTACATACAAAGTTTGTTGCCCTACCCTTCGATATTTGTTCCAGAATGGTAATCGCAAGTATAAATAAGTATAAATATAATCCCTATATCACGGATACCATCAAAGAAATGATTCGACTGAGAGAGAAGGCACATAAGAATTTTTTAAAAAACCGAACAGAAGTAAGTCGAAGATATTACTGCGAGTTACGAAATTATGTCAAGTCAGCGATATCGCGGGAAAAAAAAGCATATTTACAGTTCATATTGCATTCTAATAAAAGTAATGCGAATAGACAATGGTATCATCTACAAAAACTGGGTGTACGCACCAAAAGGAGCACTAGAGTCGAGCTGCCTGCTCAACTACAGAATCCTACGGCTATCAACGAGTATTTTTTAAATTTTGCTGAAAATTCGACAATTGACCCGAATGTGATACGGTTCTTCAACGGTACAATGAGGTGTGAAAACACTACGTTTACTTTTAATGAAATCACTGAACATGATATTTACACTGCTCTTAAAAATAGTTCATCGAAAGCTTACGGACCCGATCATATAAACTTAACAATGTTAGTATTGATAATCCCACATTGTTTAGATGTTGTTTTAAAACTGTTTAACGACTGCCTGCGTAATGGAATCTGTCCAGAAATTTGGAAGACGGCTGATATTATCCCCTTAGTAAAAGTTACCAATCCCTCGACTTACAACGACCTTCGCCCCATATCTTTATTATCTCCATTTGCAAAAGTATTCGAAAAAATTATTGCTTCTCAAATTACGAGGTATTTTGAAAATTCCCACATTACACCCGTTTACCAATCAGCGTACAGGAAAAAATACAGTAGCAACACAGCTCTTATGAAGGTTATAAATGACATATCTCACAGTTATGATAAATCCCTGTGCACCATCTTGATATTGCTAGATCAGAGTAAGGCCTTCGACTTAGTAAATCACGAGCTGCTCATCGCCAAACTGAAGCACCTAGGTTTTGATGACAATAGTGTAAGCTGGTTCACAGCATATCTTAATTGCCGATCTCAAAGAGTCAGAATCTCTCATAGGTCGTCAAGCTTCGCGAGAATCAAGAGAGGTGTTCCTCAAGGGAGTGTTTTGGGCCCCTTACTTTTTTCGGCATTCACCTTCGACTTACCTACAAGTCTTCATCAACTTCGATACCATCTGTATGCGGACGACTTACAACTTTACATAGAGTGTAGTACATCAAATATTGAAGAAACCATCGATGTTGTAAACTCTGATCTTCTTGGTGTACAGACGTGGTGCCAAAACAATGGTTTGCGATTGAACCCTGCCAAATCCACTGCTATTTGTGTGGGTCCTCGACTTCACTCGGAGTTGGTGTCTAGTTTTCAGTTACGTCTAATGAGCGAAAGCATACCATGGTCTACCACGGTGAAAAACTTAGGCATTAAAGTAGATAGTAGGTTAAGTTTTACTGATCATGTTAATCACATAATTAGAATTGCATATTTAAAACTAAAGTCAATCTATCACCTTAAATCTCTGCTAAATGAGTCCAGCAAGCGTAAGCTAGTCAAATCTCTTATTTTACCCCATTTTGATTATTGTTGTATGGTGTATTATTTTTTTCTCACAAAACGTGACCAAGCAAGGCTGCAAAAAACTCAAAATGCGTGCATGAGATACATTTGCAATATTCCCCTTAGAGAGCACGTCACGCCGTATTATCACAGACTTAATGAGTTAAAAATCAAGGATCGTGTCAAATATCTATATATGATAATGCTTTATAAAATTTTACAATTTAGAATACCGTCATATTTATATCACCTGTTGATAAGAAGATCGGCTGCTCATTGTGTAAATTTAAGAACTAATTCTTTTACAATACCTAGACATAAAACTGCAAAATTCCAGGGTTGCTTCACATATGTTGCACCATCGTTGTTAAATTTAAGGTTAGATGCATTGCACATGAACTATCCTCAGTTTGTTAGATCTACTAAGAGCTTTTTCTTAGAGAATTGTAATTAATTTAGCAAGACGACTGTTTTTTTTTTATCATTTTGTGTCTTACAGGATGAATTGAAAAACGGCTTTAGGCCGAATTCATTACCTTTTGAGCTGTACATGTACAACATTATTATTTTATTGTTTTGTTTGTATGTATGCTCAATAAACATTATTATTATTATTATTATTATTATTATTATAACGGAACCTTGGAGGATAACGATCTTGTAAATTGCCCCAATACATCTCATTTTACTTACGCTGCTTGCTTCGCTACGAACCGTTCGACACCCGGTTTTGTCGACGATCACTTTTGTTACTTCGAGATTTATTGCTGTTAGTTTGATTGCATTGTATCATTCAGATTAGATGTGTTATTTGAGATTTTAGCTACCGTTGCTTAGTAAACAAGTTCTTGAAGTCACCGAGGTTTTGTCCGAAGTCGATATTAACACGTTTTAGTCACGTTATTGGTTTTACTCCCAAGAATTTGCTCATGCTAGTTTATTTAGATTGTGAAATTAATCATTTGTCCATTGTAAAGTACTTTTCTTGAATTTCAAGTCACGTTTATGCTTTCATATTTGATATTGTACGAAAAACCTGTGGTTGATCAAAATTTTACTTTTTGCTATTTAGTATATGCAATTGCATCCGTGTCAGACGTTAGCATTGTTATTTCGCAATATTTTAGCACGATTCACTACCCCTTTTATTTGTTTGTTGTGTTAATGTAATCTGCCAGTGATGACAGGAGTCATTAGACGTTACAATGTGACAAATGCGATCAGTAAAGTGCGCAGAGAGAGCGGTGAGGTATTCGATTTGTAGGGGGGTATGCTGATCACTGAAACATTTACAGAAAATGGAAGAAATCGTGAGGAACCTCTCTCTCGACAGACAAAGCGAAGTTGGGGGGCGAGGGAGGGGGGGTGTACTGCAATGAAATGTCTAGAGCTTTTCGAATGAAGTTCTAAAATGCGACACGTGGAACGTTGTGGAACTCCATCCAACGATTGAGATGCGGTTAGGTGCGCCTTTTGTTCCGCTTTAAAAGTGACACCGACATTTACCGCGTTTAAAAAGAAGGCATCGATCGAGAAGGGAACACCGTTTACTCTGCGAACTATTTTGTAGTCTTGAAAATTGCCTGTATTGTGTGTCTAAGTGGGTTAATATCTTCTTCATGTTGGCGGACAACTGCGCTGTAAATTTGTGAAAAGCAAACAACATATTACGTACGTGAACAATAAAATTTTTGCTGGTTTGCAATAGAACACATTGTGCGGCACAACACTATCATGTTTTATTAAAAGATACGCTCGGGTTGCGATTGCTTCGAGATATTTTAATCTTGGCGTTCTAAAGGGTTGTTTAATAGTGGAACGGAATGATACCGTAGGCATTCGCGAGGAATATCCTCCGGTATTTGAAGATTTATATTTTAATTTTAGCGCTAATCAAACGTATTGAATAAATAATGAAGCGAAAAAAGTGCGATGAGACAAAATTAGCAGAGTTGTAGCTGAAATAAAAGCGCCAAGTTGTTACAAAATGTAAATCCGGTTGGGAGTTTGGAGATGGCACGCGAATAATTAAATAAAAGCGAGATAGGGCAAAAATGCAGATCGACTTTTTTATTTTACGGAATGGAAGCTAAATGGATTGATAAAAAGTGGGATAGCATCTGTGGAATGATTTCATTTAGATAAATCTTCTTTTATGATTCAATTAAGTACCCGTGCCGGTTAGAGTGTATGTATATTGTAGTTTGAGCACAATTCGCATGAAACCATTAATTTTAAAGTTTATTTAATTACCAACACCATTAATTATTCAATAATTATAACAAGAGGGTGACAACGTCGCTGCTGTTCAGTTCTTTGGTAGGAGTAATTTTTTACTGCGTAATTTTTTTACTCGTAGCTGATGTTGGTTCAATATATTACACCACCGCCATCTAAGTAAATACTTTTTTTTTTAAATAGAACCAGTTTTGAATTGAAATTAACAAAAAAAAAGCTTTACCACATTGATTGATCGATTGAATTGACTACTGAATTTTAACACATCAGTCTCTACAAATAAATTGGCGTTGCGAACATATGCGCGTACATATATGGCCAAATACACGTAAAACATAAGAAAGGCAACGCTAACCTTCATTTAAAAAGAGACGTCATCCAGAGAAGTGAGCTCATTTCCAGGATTTCCGTAAAATCTGCAAACAAAAAAAATTCCCAAGCCGCCCCAGGCAGAAGCATGTCGTCATTATGACGCCATATAAAGGTGATTTACGGTCATCGACGTCTTATGACCTGTGTACGACGTCGTGTAAAGGTACCATTTTCGTGTATCTTATGGCGTCACAGAAAAACGTCATGCGTTCGTCAGAACGACGTTGAAAATTGCAATTATTTTTCATATCAATAGAATTTCGTGGTACCTCAAAACTCAAACATATTACTACATACATACTACCATACAATGCTAATTGTATTTAATGCTAAAGCAATTACTACCATAAACATGATACACCTATGACAGACAACTACCACATCCTTTGTGCTTAGTGCGCAGGTGCGTTCTGAAGTTGAACCTGTGATCTCTCGAATGTCGAATACGTCTAAAAGTGGCGGTTATTTTTTTGCTTTTGACTATTATAATTGAAATCGTATAAACAAAGACGTGCAATTTGACCAGAGACATTAGAGAGTCTCTGAATTTGACTGACTGACTGAGCTTCGAAGGTATTATTAACAGGTAAGGCAAATTTTGAACTTACTCAACTTTGAGGTTATTATTGTTCATGTGCATGTTTCTGTTAGAATAAATGGCGTACGTTGGTATCGAATTTGAAAGCGATGGCGAAAATGATGCGGGGGAGATCGCGATTGTAAATAAAGTTTGGCTCACGCCAATGAAACGGAGAGTTCATTGGCCGTCCTATAGTCAACCCACAAAATTTGAAAGTGCACTACGCAGTGGAGAGGAACCTGGCGATACCTGGATGTTATACCCGGTTAAGAGGATCTTTTTTGAAACAGGTAGAATTTTTTGTTAATCCAAACCACAACTAAAGTGAAAAAGCAAAGTGTTACTACCTGTGTATTGGAATTGTACACATGACTCACCTCGTTTAAACAAATGTATTTATTTTACTCTTTATTTTAGACAATCTTCTTAAAGCACGACAGAAATTGAAAACTGCCGAAGTTACCTCCGATGTGCAGTCGGACACTGAATTCAGTGAAAAACGTAAAAGAGTTCCGCCTCCACGACTGTCTTACGATAGCGAAGAGGAGAGCGTTGCAACATTACCTCGGCCTCCAAGATTTTCGCTGGATAAAGGTGAGCAATTAGTTACTGTTTTTTTGTGATTTTGAGCTACTGTTGCTTATAGTTAATCAACAAAGTTCAAGACAAAGTTACTCACAACCAGAACCTCGGAGTAGTCCATCCACCCATGTCAATAAGAAAAATTGTTTCCGAACAATACCCTCTAGTCCATCATCATGTGCTGATGCCATCCCCTCTAGTCCATCATCATGTGCTGATGCCATCAACAGACAAAGACTTCCAACAAGATCCCCACTTGCGGTACGTGGCGAAGAACGTGAAAATTTAGGTAAGTTTTTTTTATTCATAATATTAGTTGCAGGTACATATTTCGTATATTATTTCAGATTCTAAGGTAGTCGTACCCTTACTATTACATATCAAGGAACAGAATAACCAAATTCTGTCATGGATAAAAAAACAAAGTAATACAACCGTTGTTCATGGCACTTTACCCGATGATATTCCTGTAAAATTTCCTTTATGCTCAATTGATTCATTAACCGTATTAGAATCATATTTGATGGATGATGGACATTTAGCAGAATTGGTAAGCCAGTCGCTTCAATAAAAGAAAATGCCACTACCTAGTGATTTTTTTCTAGGCAGCATATTTCTCGTCATTAGGCGGACGTGACATTGGATCTAAAACGAACATTATTTAAAAAAATATTTTCAACAATGAGCTTGCCCAGCTGTATAGTTTCTATGGGTCAAGGGGAAATAAAAAGGCATTCAACGATTTGCGTGTAAAAACCGTTATTATTCGTAAGTTAATATTGAAAGTGATTTTAAATCATTAATATGTACTGTTAAAGGGGCTGTTCAATTAACGACTTCCAACACAACAGCTGAAGAAATTTCTGCCCATATAAAGGTTTGGCTAAAACATGCCCCGCAACGACTTTCCAATTCCCTACAACCTAAGAAGAACTGTAACCAAGGAATTTAGATAAGTGCAATTACTTTAATCATAGTTCTTTTTTTTTTATATATTTTACTTTTGTTATTAATGTGTACCATGTCGCAGAGAAGTTCCTATAAAACTAAAGAAATTGTAGGCACACGACAAATATATAGAAGAGTCCAGAAAGCCTTACAGAGGCTAAATGAAAATAAAGAAACTATTTGTCCTGTTAATCGTAATAACTTGGCAAACACAAATATCATAGAACATAGTCCGCTAAATCTTTTGCATGATAGAAGTGATGAAAATGATTCTTCCAGTATCTGTTCTCAGTCTTCTCAAAATTGTGATATACAAATTTGTCCACCTATTGAAATTGAGTTAATTTCTGAAAATATTGACGAGCACATGGAAAGTACGCCACCTGAAACTTTATGTACCAATCCTAACGAAAACGATGACAACTTGGCAATTAAGCTGCGGTCATGGGCCACAGTTGGCAAAGTGCCTCATTCAAGTGTTACATCTCTTTTAGGCATTTTACATCCATTACATCCTCAATTGCCATTATGTAGTAAAACCTTGTTAAAAACGCCTGTAACTCTTAATACTCTGCCATTAGATACTGGTGAATATTATCATTTTGGATTGACAAAAACATTACATAATTTAATACTAGATGGTGCTAGATTTGACAACAATACTATTTTACTATCATTTAATATAGACGGACTCCCACTGTATCGAAGCACAAATACACAAATTTGGCCCATTTTATGTTTAACTAAAAGTAGTAGTAGCATAATTTCACCATTCCCTATAGGAATTTTTCTCGGCGATTCTAAACCTAAACCGCTAGACACATATTTGAAGAACTTTATTGAGGAGCTTTCATTGTTAATTACAAATGGATTAAATTTATTTGATGTGACTTATAAAATCAAAATTCACAGTTTTATTTGTGATGCTCCTGCGCGAGCATTTATAAAGTGCATAAAATCTCACGGTGGCTACTCATGTTGTGAACGATGTATGGAAAGTGGAGATTATGTGAATGGAAAAGTTGTTTACAAAGGAATAAATGCAACACGCAGAACAGACAAATCGTTTGTTTTACAAAGTGATGAAGATCATCATTTAGGGATGTCTCCACTACTAAAACTTTCTGTTGGTATGGTGTCACAATTTCCGATAGACTATTTACACAATATCTGCTTAGGTGTAATGAGAAAGTTATTACACACATGGATAAGTGGCAATTTAAAGGTTCGCTTAAATTCTCAATTAGTTACTACTTTATCTCAAAAGCTAATTCTCATAAAACTGCATATTCCAACAGAAATAAACAGGAAACCTAGGAGTTTATCGGACCTATCAAGATGGAAAGGAACTGAATTTCGATCATTCTTGCTTTATTATGGACCACTAATATTGGCAAATACTATTGACTTAGGTGCATAAAATGCATAAAAAAAAACAACCTTCACTTAAACATGGTCTAAATGCCAAGTAGTTTCATTTTCAAGAAAATCTCAACCCTTTTACATCCTTATCAATTTAATGATATTCAGTTTTAAACGGTGTACATCGGTCACGGATTTGGGTATTATATTTTGATTATTAAACTTTCCTTTCGGAAACATATATCGGTGACTATTGCTTCTGCTTTTAAAAAATGCTTGGCTTTATTATCAGAAATTGTTCGTGATTTTTCCAATATTTTTGCTATCAAATCTCTATATGCTGCTTATGTGCGATCCAAACTGGAGTATGGTTCTCTTATTTGGTATCCTTACTATGACTGCCATAAAACAACCCTGGAAGCAGTGCAGCGTAAGTTTTGAAGTTTTTTATCGTTTAAATTGGACAGAGTTTATCCGCAATTGGTACTGATCATCAACTACTGCTATCTCGATTCAGGTACATTCCTTAGAAGTTCGCAAAACTCTGTCAAGCCCTTAACTTTCTCTTCAATTTTTACACAATAACCTAGATTGTCCATCCTCTTCTTTCCCTTATTCGGTTTCATTGTGCCACGTTTCGGCTCGTAATGTATATACTTTCAATTGTGCTAAGGCCAATACAAACTTTACTTTGTAAATCACCTATATTTTGTTATGGTAAGGCAACTTTAACAAAATGCTAATATGGTTGACATTAAACACTTGCTCAGTATCTGTCTTAAAAGATTGATGGAATATTTTTAATCTTATTTTTTAATCTTTAAGTTTAATATCATTAATTGGTTTTTATTAGGTTAGCCGGTTAAGACATTAGTATATTTAGTTATTGTGCTTTCTTAGATTAGTAATTGTCCTATAATTGGAATTTGATTTCTGTTGGGCAATAAATCATATTATTATTATTATAATTATATGAACATTTTCTTTTGCTCCATGTTGCTATATCTATAGCCGTGTCTCCATATCTCCTTGCAATACATAATTCCACCGTTGTTTCAGAACTTTTGAACATGTTTGTAAAACATGTTGAGCAGATATATGGCATAGAATATTATGTCTATAATGCTACATTATCTTTCACATGTGTCCGACGATATTCAGTCTTATGGTTGTTTAGATAATTACTCCGCATTCCCATTGAGAATTATCTAGGTCAACTTAAACAGTTAGTAAGAACCCGGAACAGACCACTAGCTCAACTTTGTAGGCGTTTACATGAAATGTCATTCAATAATATTTCTAAACCTATTGTTAACCCTGATATTGTATATAAATTTGAACATTTTAACGGTCCTCTCCCCCCTACATCTGTTATTAACGATAATTACAGACAATATAAAAAAATACATTGGAAAGATATAACAATTTCTGTTAAATCACACTCCATCGCTGATTGTTATTGCTTAACAAAGCAGAAAACAGTTGTACAAATAGAAAATATTTTAGCATGCATCAATCGAAAGAATACTTTTTTTATTGTTAGTGAATTTGAAGAATATGATTCACTGTATCACTATCCCATTAATTCAAAACAGTTGTATATATACAAAATGAAAAATTTGTCGACCAATATGAAAATAATTTCTCATATTGACATACAAGCAAAGTGCATTGTCATTCCATCATTTGCAGCCGATTACTGGGTATCATTTCCATTACTTCATTCGTATTTCCTGTGACACTGTACACATTTTATACATTTTGATTATACATTGTATTGAATTTTTTTTAAATAAATTTTTTCATGCCTAATTTTTAATGAAGTATACGTGCAGACGGCAATAATATAAAAAGTGGTCAGAAATACGCGATATAGACGTCTAAATAACGTCAGAAGTACACGTCCAAAAGAAGTTTATACCACGTCACGTAAACATCCAAGAATGGTCCATATCACGTTAACATTGACGTCCAAAGTAGGTCACTTTGGACGTTTAAAATACGTTAAAAAATGACGTCGATGGCCTGTGACATGTTCACGTCATTTTCTCGCCGTCAAGACGTCATATTATTGGTTAAGTAGACGTCTTGGATTACGAATAAATGTCGTGATTACGACGTCATGCTTCTGCCTGGGCAGAGCTCGGAATGCAAAGAACTGAACAATGCCTGAAGGGCCTCGCCCTACTCGTAGTAAGCTTCTATAAGATGCGGATACATAGCCAACACTTCACAAGGAAGTTGCCGTCTACAATATCATACGTGAGAAAAACTCGATCATAACTTTACTGAGGTAATAAATACAAAAATAGTTATTGATTAATATGCTAAAAAGTTACGAAAGTTGTTTCTTGGTTGTGATTCGAATCTTGTTATGAAATCTGGTACATGACTCAGTTTCAGCAAAAAACGACCTAAAGAAGACGTATTTCCACGAAAAACTTAAAGATGTGCGGCGACGTCGGATTATAGTTCGCAAAGGCGAAAGAGCAAATAATTACAGGATTGGCACGAAGGGAAAATAAAAGTGTCTTGTTAATGAAAACTCATGTCGACGAAGATGATCTGCTGCACATCCTAACGCTGAAAAGGATGCAGCGCGACTATAATGATACAACCACAGGCGGTGCCTAAACCCCACGTACGCAAATATTCGCAGAAAGCGACTCGACGAAAAAGACCAAAAAAACACCGACCCCAAAGCGAGGAATACGATGTAACGCAAAGGGCGAGCCTAAGTGTTTTAATTGTAATTGGTAAACAACGAGGACTTTTGCATCGACCGTTTGAACGAATGTGAATAGAACGGCATCAAACACACCCGAAATTTGACACGTCATCCAAGGGCTAATGAACAAGATGAACGAGTGAATCTCGCACCGCACAGTTCGAAAACGTGCGCGTTGTTATCGCCAGACATATACGTTCACGTTCGCTATGAAGCGGTACATATTTCCTTATGCTGACCAAACTAAAAATAGGAAAAAACACCCTGTACATAACATTCTTTTTTAAAAATACTAATAATGCCATCCGTATAGTATATAGCAAAGTGTCATAGTAAAAGTAAATTCGTAAACGAACTTCTTAAAATAAATTAATGTTTCGAACACAAAATATCGGAACACTTAGATTTCAACAATATTTTGTAGTGCCACTCCAGAGGTTTTTTTGCGGGAATATAATAGCAACGCTTAAATTTCTATTAACATTATCTTTCGAGTTCTTTGTCCTGTTAATGGCCGTTGTGTAATGAGGCTAAAATTAGGAAACTCGCAATAAGATACTACTTCACAAAACTTGGAAAAATGCCTGATTGTTAATCAATATTGATATCAAAAGGGCATTTGGCTTTAAACGCTCCTTCGGTCTTGGAAAATATTCGCATTCGAATAAATAAAAATGAGTCTCGTAAAATAATTTCCGAAATAAAAATTGCAATTGAGCTAAAACCACGTAATATAATATCGATGCGCATATTTTTATGCGACGCACGTTTCGACATGAGAACTACGTTTTATTAAAAAGCACTAAAAAATAACCTCCGCCACAATATTGTTATTCACGACGAAACCTGATAGTTGGATATTTATTCACGTTTGCTTATTATCACGTGCTTTGAATTCGAACTTTCGGAAAATAATTAATAATCATAATATAAATTCAATTACGTTCTAATTCATGTCCGGCGTATAGATGAATTTATAACTTTCTACTATTAATTGAATTACAGTCAAGCTTTCGATTCTGTAGAGTTTGGTGTTGACTTCAATAAGCAAAGTTGACCGGATATTCTGCGTTATATTTCTCTACAACGCTTTTGTGTGTACTTTTCCGAGTGGGCAGTTGTCGGGTGTGCGTTCTCCTACAATTATATCAAATTGATCGACGCCATTCTAACGCAAGACGGATTTATTTGCGGACGGTCGTCCACATAATAGATTAATTGCTTCGTTCTTCGAGAACCGTTGCCGTGTATTGCTAGCAACCATTTCGGAAAATTTATTAACCATAATTCAATCAGGATTGATCTTAAACTTTGACCTTACGAGTAAACAAATGACACAGATAGCTACCGAAGAATTATTTTGTTTGTTTTATGTTGTTTGCCTTTAATGCCTTTTAATGGGGTAAATTCTGTTAGGGTTGCGCAGTTTGAAGTAATTAGTATTAGGGGTGTTTAAATTGCGAAAATTTTTTATTAATTCTACATTTTTAAAAGTCCAAACGATTCAAGCTAATGATTAAAGATGGCCGATTTCATTAATACAACGCCATTTTGTGGCGTGAAAGAATTACAAAATCAGGTAGGGATGCGTCAGAGAAAAAGACAGTAAAGAGAATTCGGTTCGTCATAAAAAGTGAGCTACGTTTTTCTGGCTCGCGAGATCAATTTTTAACAAAGTCAAGTTCGAAAACGGGATCGAAATCGCCGTCATACAGGCACCGTGGATTTTCCACGGGGAGTCCAAAAAAATTAGGATACGTATTTTGGGATTACGTGAATTTTGTGCGTACGAAGAAACAATATCAGAGCGCAACACGAAATAACAGGTCGGCCAAAATTACAAAAAACCCATTGGTAAAATTTGTGCATTCAATTAAAAAAAGAACTGTTCGGGACGCGGCGAGACTGTCAATGTTCACAATAATAAATTGTGTAAGGTGCAAAAATCAAGAGCTAATTTTCACAATATTGCGCCGTATTCTCAAACCGAAAAATCTAAAACTAGCTCCAGTTATTTAGTATAGAAGGACTATTTTATATTGTAAAAGCAACATTTCTCCATTATAAATAAAGAGCAGGGACTTAGGAGTGGTTAATACAGTTGTTCATTTCTCAGTGCAATATTAATAACGAAAGTTTTCTAACGGAGTCAAATATGTAAATTATAAATTTTTAATTGTTGTGTAGAGGAAACTGATACTCCGTTTCCGTGTTCAAATTTTGTCGTTTAAGGAGATTGTTGTTACATGTTCCGATTGGTCTCATGTCTCCTCACATACCACCAGTGTAATCTTGTAATTAATATCGATCAAAAAGAACTATACTAAAAA